AAGATAAAGGTCCTCCCCTTTTTCCACTTCCGGTGCCTGGAGGCGATGCTCAACTTCTGCCTATGTGGAAGTGCTGTTGTTCTATTTTCCATGCCAAAGGAGCCTGCTGTCTGTAGTCTTCTCTGATCTTTTTGCTGGCATGACTGCATGGGGTGCCCTTTTTACCTTCCTGCCAGGGCAGTAACTATTGATCTACTCACATTGCATGTTTTCGAAATACTAGATTCACAGAAGCTAAGGCTGGCAGTTGAGAGCTCACCCCTACTTGTAGCTTCAAGCTGTTGACCCTCAGGTCAGTAGCCTTTTTCTGCAGCTAGCAGCTTTAACTGCTGTGCTACCATGGCTCTGAACTTTTTTTTACCTGTCTGTAATTCCAAACATACATGATTACAACTTGTAAAAAAATATCAATTCCAAAATATCTAAGATATTCAGCAACAAGATCTCAAGAAAAAAACCCATCTCTGTTTCTCAGCACTTGATACATGAAAATTGGGAGCATTAGACATTCTGATACAACTTTACACGTACAACTGAGATATTTGCCTGGAATCACCCAGCTTGATGTTGATTACATTGCTTCATCTAAATGAAACAAAAGTTTGTCTGGTAGCATCTATAATCCTTAAAAACTATTCCCGAAGTACCATGCAAAATAGATCCAACCAGCCATTTCTTCCCCAAAAGCCAAAGTTTGCCAATCAGTACTGAACTTTCACAAAAATATTTGGGATGCCAAACTAAGTCTAAGAGTCAGGTTTGAACAAAACCAGTTCATAAATCTAGATTCTAGAAAAGAAAAATATTGAAATCCAAAGTGTTTGATCATGAAGTACCTGTAGTAATTGATGGATGGGGCAAAAATAATTATAGTCTTTGTTTTGATCCCATTAGACCACAGACCAACTTCATTGGCTCTGTGATCAAACATGTAGATTAGCACAGCATAACAGACAAGCAAAAACTTGAAATTATACATAAGTTAGTAACTAAGGGGAATAACAAAAGACCTCCCGCTGTCATTTAATATTCTACTCTGTACCTGCACCACTTTCAATCACATTATGTCAACTTCCATTGTATACAATACACTCAGCAAAGTTTGGCTCCTAGAATAAAGGATCACATCAAAGATTTACTGAAACTTTCCCTTGCTACAAGAAAATTATGGAAGATTTACAAAACGCTGCATAAAATGAAAAAGGCTACATATCTCAGGGATGTTATATTTGCACCGTTTCTTCTTAAACAAGATATCACAATCAAATCAATTTTTTCAATTTAAAAAATACAATTATAACATGGAGCAGGTTAATTTAAGACACTAACCAAATAAAAGCAATTTTAAAAGAAAGAAAGAAAGAAAGAAAGAAAGAAAGAAAAAGAAAGAAACTAAAGCAAATTAAAAGCTTTTTTGCCGCAACTGTTCTTAATTTCCTGACACAAAAAGCCATTGCTTATTGATGGAAGAAGGACATAGAAAGATGCTAGATTAATCTGGAGTTTTTCTGGGTTAAACCAGCTTTGCCCTGTGTCAGTCATTTTTTTTATTATTGTTAAGAGTGACTTGAGAAACTGCAAGTCACTTCAAGTGTGAGAAAATTGACTATCTGCAAGGACATTACCCAGGGGACGCCCAGATGTTTTACCATCCTATGGAAGGCTGCTCTCATGTCCCTGAAAGAAGCTGGAGCTGACAGACAGGAGCTCATCCCGCTCCCTGGATTCAAACTGCAGACCTTTTTGTCAGTAATCCTGCTGGCACAAGGGTTTAGCCCATTGCGCCACCTGGGATATCCTCATGTAAGTCATGAGGATGCTTCAGAGACTGCTGGAAACCAGTCCTAACAGCTGGTAAGCTGGATGGGATTTCTGGGACCTGAAGTCCAAAATACTAAGAGGAGTAGAATTTGAGAAACAATGCTCTAAAGTATCCAGAGGTTTCAGGGCCATTGGGATGGCTGGATAATTTGAACACGTCCAATGATCCACTACCATCAACTTTTCCTTATGATCATCAGTGGAGGGAAAGGGGGATGGGTCATGCCACTGCTCACAGAGCTCTATGCGAGGTCCTGGTCATCTCTGGTGTCCCATTTTGAAATCAGCACAACCAGGAAGAAAGTGGAGAGATTGGTCCCATCTTTCGTTCCAGTTGCATGGGCACTTCTGATGTCAAAACCTCACACTATGTTGACTCAATAAACGAGTGCTCTCTGTCTTCTTCCAAATGGCCCAGTAGGCCCAAGTGACTGCATTCACTGGTTTTTCCCACAGTCCCCTCCCCTTGGCTTCTAGCCTTGTGGCCTGCTGACATTAAACAAGTGCAGCACATTTGGCAACACCTTCACACTGAGCCAATCGGTCCTGATGCCAACACATATTAGAGTAGTGCCTAAGCTGGGTCATAAATAGTGGCTTATCTGCAGCGCTAAGATCACCTGACCTAGGGCAGGGTACAAATATTTTAATCAATTAATACATGCATTTTCAGGATGAATCATCAGTTGTATATGTGGGAAGGGCAAGATGGATTTGCTTACTGTAAAAATCATGAAAAATGTTCAGTGAATGTAAATAATTATAGCATCAATATAACTTTTTTTAATGGATTTGGTTATTTGAATGTTGTAAATATTCTGTATTTCATTAAAAACTATACATCCCCCAAAAGAGGCCCTTGATTACCAGAGATAGTTCTGTATAAGTGTTTCCCATACCATGCTGACAATGTCTGTAGGAAACCAGGGAACAGTGGTGTTTCAATCCCACAGTAGGTAAAGCATGCGGCTGACAGACGATGTATGGGACAGGAGCCTTGCACTACGGAGGTCTTGTCATTGTTCAGGGTTTAGCCACACATGCTGTGGCTGCAATTAACAGATTTCCTGTGAGCTGATAATGAGCAGGTGCAATATAACTGGGGGGAAATGAATCACTTATCGCAACTACTTTGTTCCCATGCACATCCTGTGCTACCGGAACCCTGGAAACTAAGCCCTGCTAATGATGAGTGAAATGGGGATTTTTAAACTGAATTCCTTTAACCAAGCAAGAAATGCTCTCCCACAGTGATTTGCTTTTTGTACAAATACCTTTGATTCTCTGATGAACTCACTCCCAGCTAGAATCCAAGACTAAGGGCCAAGCTGTGCATTAACCATATAGTTGCATATTACTCCATATGGCAACTTCACTTTCTGTTGTATATACAAATTTGTTAAAACTCAAGTGTATCGATCCTGAACTTATGGGAATGTGAATTATCCTTGTTTTACCATCTACAAGGTGCTACCAATGGGAGTTCTAGACCATCAGAAATTCAGATTCAGCCCATGAATCTGGAAATCAAGGAGATTTCATTACATGGTGTTCCACATGGTTTTTTGTGGGGGGGGGGGGTGTTGTCATTCTGCTATTGTGAACTATCTATGCTGATTCATTTAATATTTTTTCAATCTGGATTGTCTCCCAGAGCACCTTGAGTCACATTTGCTACCTTTTCACAATGGTGCTGAAATCTCAATTTGTAGGTATTTGAGGAAAGAAGATGAACTTTTTAAAAATACAGGAGAATATGAATATCCTTTGGGGTTTGGTTCCAGGACCCTCCCCGATAGATATTAAAATCTGTAGATGCTTACATTTCATTATATGCAATGGCATAATAAAATGGCATCTATATTTTAAAAAACACCAAACAATACAAACAAGTTTCAGGGAGAGTCTGAGGATCTGTGAAATGTTAGGATGCTACAGAAGAATATGCCTACACGTCAGCATATATGGCAACATCAAGGTTTGCTTTTTAGGTTAAACAAAGCCATGGTTGGGTAAATCTGTGGATTCAGAACCCAAGGATATGAAGATCTATCTATAGAGCTGAGGAACAGTATGTTTGAGAATTATTAAAAATCATCTAGAAATGTACAAAAAATAAAATTAGAGATATACAGTTCAGAAAAGTCATATTTTGGACTACAGCTCTCGGAATCTTTCAGATAACGTCACAACTAGCCAAACTGACTGGGGCAATGGTCTCAAGGGAGGAATGTGAAGATCCAAATCTCAGGCTCCGCATTCACCCAGTAGTTCTATTCTGACCTACAACCCATCCTTGTCTAAAATCTGGTGAACAGCATCTCCTGAGATGACCCAAAATTAATAAGAACATCAGCCCTGGCCTTGTCTTACTCAACTGCTGAGTATGCCTGCCCTGTTTGGCACAAGTTTGTTCACACGAAGCAGGTGAACATAGCACTGAACGAAACATGCAGAATTATCACAGGATGTCTCAAACCTACACCTGTTCATAGACTCTACACGTTAGCTGGCATTGCCCCTGGATGTGCAATGGGAAGTTGCTGCTAATTGTGAGAGAAATAAGGTTGAACACTGTGAAAGCCATCCACTGCATGGCTATCAGCCTCCTCCCAGTAGACTCAACAAGGAAAAGCTACATGAGAACCACCACTCCTCTGTATGCTTGTCCACAATGCCCTGCCTCAAGCACAGAGGAAGAATTGTTTAAAGCTCCAGGCAATGTGGTCTCTTGCCCGGTTTTGATCAAAAATTATTTAGCCGCTTGTGCTCCTTCTATTTTTATCAGTTTTATACTTATATATGCAATGCTTTCAACATGAAATAAATAATAATAATCTTCTGAGAAGATGGGCACTGCAATTGACGCATATGAATGGCAGCTGGTTGAGGACAGGGTTATTCTAACTACTATACATATTGGCTCTCAAACATTTGTATATTTTTGAAGGAAAAAACACATGCTTTCCGTACTGGTGTTGCCCATCTATGCACACTGCCTCTGTTGCATGCCTCCACCAGCAAGATATTTTCTGTTGACGCTCTCCAGGCCTTCAGAACTGACAGAGGGGCAAGGTTGTTGCTCTCTTGGAAGGGGTGGGTGGGGTTTGACAATGATTGATGGGATAGATGTGCGTGCATGTTTTAAGAAACAGGGAGGCTGTCCCCATTTGCTAGAAATTAAGCACATAACAGTTTTCAGCCCACTCATCTCTGCTTCCCAGCTGCTACAAAACCCCCGTGAAGTGAAGGTTCCCGCCAAGGAGTGTGCAGTCTGGCTGTCTAAGACAAGAAAGAGCTTTCGCTGCTTGGAGTATTTTCAAGGTAAAGAGCAATTTAAACCCATTAAAGAAGAACATGTGGTTTTACGGAGAAAAGCAGAATGTGCCTTGTTTGAATGTAATGCTCATTTTATTTCATTTTCTTTAAGCCATCCGTTTCAATGAGCTCTTGCTTGGAAGCAGAGTTAATGAAATCAGTGGGATTTGACTGACTGCCTAATGAAAAAGATTGAGGGGGAAAATAATTCCTAAGAGCTAAACACTGGAAGAACTCAAGACGCAGCAGGTCAAAGACAGTTTGCCTCAACAGGTGTATGAAAGCCTTGGGCTTCTTTTTTTTTGATGGAATGGCCAAGTCTAAATTAATTAACTTCATTAATTAATATAAACAATGCAAGAAAAAAAACGTGCATTGTTATTGATGCTCCTCTGGTTGTTCCAAATTGAATAAGAAGAGTTTTTCTAAATATCACATGGTTTTTGAGTTAGCACAAATACTATACTCATGATACTGAATACAGAAACTGATTTTTCTATCCTTGTTGTTTGAATAGGGGAAGAAACTGGCTAAACTAACTCTGAATATTCCTTGCCTAAGCAAGCCTCAAGAAATGTAAAGTTCCAGCGCCTTATACCCTCCGAGATGGACTGAACAAATGAGCATATTTTTAAAAAAGCAAAATTGTTCCAATAGGGAAACTTTGTTCCTTGTTTTAAAGATGGAAACATCTTAAGGGCAACTAAATAATCAAAGGTCTGGATAGGATACCATCCTCATTGAACTGATATTGATATGGCAGTGTGGACTCAGATAACTCAGTTCAAAGCGGATATTGTGGATTATCTGACATGCTATTCTGGGTTATAAAGCTGTGTGGAAGGACTCAGAGCAATGGGTTCAAATCACAGGAAAGGAGATTCAACCTGAACATTAGGAAGAACATCCTGACTGGAAAAGCTGTTCAACAGTGGAACTCTCTGCCTTTGGGGCTTTTAAACAGAGGCTGAACAACCATCTGTTGGGGATGCTTTGATTGGGCTTTTCTTGCATGGCAGATGGTTGGACAAGATGGCCCATGTGGTCTCTTCCAACTCTATCAGTCTATGATTCTATGAGATAACTCTAACAAAAATATTGCAAAAGCCATAGGATTTAAAGTACTTTAATTTATGTGGTTTCTAAGTTAAAAAAAGTAATAGGAGAATTATTGCCCAAATGAGATATTGGTTTATTATTTGATACACAACAAGATTAGTACACAGCAAACAAGATAAGCAGTTTTTTGTATTTGCTCACATGTCAGACACACCCCAAGTGTCAAGGACTGTATGATGTATCAGCGAATAAGGTGTGCAGATCTGAGTAGGGTAGCCTTTTGCAGCTGATGGATGGCAATTTTGTCAGCACAAATTGTTTCTAAGTGCAGGCCAAGGTCTTTAGGCACTGCAGCCAGTGTGCCCATCACTACTGGGTCCACCTTGACTGGCTTGTGCAAGAGTCTTTGCAGTTCGATCTTTAAATCCTCATATCGTGTAACCTTTTTCAGTTGCTTCTCAACAATTCTGCTGTTACCTGGGATTGCAACATCAAAGATCCATATAGCCTTTTTTTTTTTTACATAATCGTGAGGTCAGGAGTAATGTGCTCAAAAACTTTATCAGTTTGAATTTGGATTTCCCAGAGTAGTTTATAATTATTTATTTATAAATAATATAAATATAATATATAAATATATTATATATAAATATAATATTTGTATATCATATAAATGTATATTATATTTATATTATATATACTTTTATATACTTTTATTCCATGTAAATATATATTCTATATAAATATAATATTTATATTATATAAACATTTATAATATTTATAATATAACGGACACAGACCATGAACTTTTATGGCATGTTTCTAAGTTTTTAACTTTTTAAATCTGTTTTAACTCTGTTTAATATGTTGCAATTTTTGAAATGTTTAGGTGATTGTGTTGAGGCATAACATTGGGCCATTGTAAGCCGCCTTGAGTCCCCCTGATGGAGTAGAGAAGGGCGGGATACAAGTATGGCATACACACACACACACACACACACATACACACTAGCTGTCTCCTGCCATGCATTGCTGTGGCCTAATCTGTGTATATATGTTTTGTTTGTGTTTATATTTGTGTATATGTGGTTTTGCACATGTGTTGTAATGTATTTTTATTTTTGCTTTTTAAGTCCCTTCTGCTGTGTTTTTCAGTGTTTTTATGAGTGATGGTCACTCGTTGGCCTGAGTGGTGTATTGTGTCCAAATTTGGTGTCAATCCGCCCAGTGGTTTTTGAGTTATGTTAATCCCACAAACTAATATTACATTATATAGATATAGATATATAAATACATTTATATTATATTTATATAATATATACATTTATATATTTATATAATATACAAATATATATTATATATAACTATAATATATTATAAATATTATGAGGTCAGGAGTATTGTTATTATTAGTAGTATTAGTATTAGGTATATCTTTTTCTCTCCACAAGGAGACACAAAGCAGATTTGAGGCTTTTGCTTATTCCCTTCCAAAGCTTTTCTGTCCACCCGGGAAACTGAATCCTAGAGTTGGAAGAGACCCCCAAGGACCACCCAGTCCAACCCGATGCTACCCAATCAAAGCACTCCTAACAAATGGCCATCCAGCCTCTGTTTGGGAACCTCTAGAGAAGAACCCTCCACTCCAGAACGGCTCTTCCCATCAGAAAGTTTTTCCTAATGTGTAGGAGAGGGGTGGGCTTTCCCAAGATAGGAGGCTGGGGAGGAGGGGAGGGGTTGATTGGAACGTGAGAAGCGGCGAGGGCGCCGATTGGCTGCGACGCGCGCTGTCCTCCTCGCTCGCCTCCCCCTGGAGGGCTTGTCGCGCAAGCAGCTGGGGGGACTCGTGCGCTCCGGCGGCTGCTCACTCGCGGTGGTCTCTCTCTGGTTTTCAGGCGAGCATGCTGCGCCTCGGGCTGCTCGTCGTGGCGCTGCTCGGGCTGCGCGGCGGCGCGGCTCTGGGGGAAGGCGAAGGCGGCGTGGCCCCGGCGGGAGGCAAAGGGACGGCGGCTCCCCTCAACACCTCCCTGGACGGCGGCCCCGCTCTCCCGCCGCCGCCGCCTCCGTGCACGAGCAGGACGGCCGTGGCCAAGACCTTCAAGTACATCAACACGGTGGTGGCCTGCCTGGTCTTCGTGCTGGGCATCATCGGCAACTCCACGCTGCTCCGCATCATCTACAAGAACAAGTGCATGAGGAACGGGCCCAACATCCTCATCGCCAGCCTGGCCCTGGGAGACCTGCTCCTCATCGTCATCGACATCCCCATCAACCTCTACAAGGTAAAGGCAAGGGAAGGAAGGAAGGAAGGAAAGGGTGTCACTTGGCTCCTTGTGGGATCTGTCCCAAAAAGCAATGTGGGGGTGATTGGGGGGAGGGGGAGGAGGCGCTTCCATTCTTAGACACTGCTTCTTAAACTGGGGTCACGAATCTCTTAGCAGCAACATGCAGTGTTTACGTGGGCATATCCAGTTCCAGGGCTTCTGAAACTTTTCCCACTTGAAGATTAAATGAGTGGGAAAGGACTGAAGAGTTGGCTTCTGCGACTAAAGGAGTTTTTGCCCTGGAATAATAATAATAATAATAATAATAATAATAATAATAATAATAATAAGACGCTGATGATGTTGTTTTTATTGCTTTTGTGATGTCTTATACTGTTTAATGTTTTTTTAATCAATATTATGTTTTATGTATACTGATTTGTTGGAAACCGCCTTGAGTCACCAATTGGCTGAGAAAGGCAGTATACAAATACAGTAAATAAATATATTATTATTATTATTATTATTATTATTATTATTATTGCCTTTCCCAAAGTGTTGGTGTTGTTTGCATCTAACAGTACATGCAACCAGAATTCGGAGTATTATAGAATCATAGAGTTGGGAGAGACTTCATGGGCCATCCAGCCCAACTCCTTGCCAAGAAGCAGAAAAATTACATTTGAAGCACTCCCGACAGATGGCCATCCAGCCTCTGTTTTAAAGCCTCAAAAAAGGAGCCCCCGTGACATTCCAGGGCAGAGAGTTCTACTGCTGAACAGCTCTCACAGATAGAAAGTTATTCCTAATGTTATCAGAGCATGGATGTGAGGTCCAGAGAGAGAAAACTGTTTCTGAGACCTGGCAATAATCTTTGCAATGTATTAACCCACTGTGCCACTGGGGGGGGGGGGGGTGCTAACAGATGAATATTGTAGTCAAAATAGCAACGCAAGCATAAAGTCACCTATTTCAGTGCCCTTTCCCAAACATAAATGAAAATGGAACTGAAGCCAAACCTCCATCATCATTGACCATTGAGCAAACTGGTTGTTCGTGTTGGAAGCTGTAGTCCCAAGAAGATATTGCGAGACCAGTGTTACATTAAAGACAAATTGAGGGTGCAGCTACACTCTAGAATTAATGCATTTTGACCCCACGTTAACTGTTATGGCTCAATGCCATGGAATACCGGGAGTGGTAGTTTTACAAGGTCTGCAACTTTCTCTGCCAAAGAGTGCTGATGCCGTATGAAACTCCAAGGACTCCATAGTAATGAGCCATGGTAGTTACAGTGATGTCAAGCTGCATTCATTCTACAGTTTAGATGCACCCTGAATCAGCCTAATTCTAGGAGACGCCGATGGCGAAATGGGTTAAAGCCTTGTGCAGGCTGAACTGCTGACTGAAAGGTCGACGGTTCGAGTCCAGGGAACGGGGTGAGCGCCCGTCTGTCAGCTCCAGCTCCCCACTCAGGGATATGAGAGAAGCCTCTCACAGGATGGTAAAACATCCAGGCATCCCCTGAGCAATGTCCTTGCAGACAGTCAGTTCTCTCACACCAGAAGCAACTTGCAGTATATTCTCATGTCGCTCCTGGCATGAAAAAAAGCATAATTCTTATTCTTTCATCTTGCCACTCTCCATGTGTATCCTACTAACACCTTTCTGTTTTCATCCCAGTCTGGATGATCCATCAACTGTAGCTGAAAAACAAATCTATTCAATACAGACAAAAGCTTACCAGATCTCTTCCTGCTCCCAGTCTCCACATTCCCCAGAGATCTTACAGATACCCCAAAACATCGTAACAAGAAAGTTTGTTTCCTGTGTGGCAGATTTATATTTTCCATACCAAACTTGAACAGGTGGTTGAAAAAAAATCCTTGGCCTTACGTTGTTTTGTTGTTGTTGAATCCCGAGAATTTTTAGCCACTTTTTCTTGATAGCTAACATTTACGCTTTGTCAAATAAAATTAGCATTCCCATTGTTGCATATGTATGCAAATATGCTCCTCCCATGATGTCCTCGCATTTAGAGCCAAGGATGGGTTGCATTTCCTGTACAAGCTTCCTGGCTTAGCTCATGAGTTCTGCCCCCCACTCCATGTGCTTGGCTTTGCTGCAAAGTGACTCAACCAAGGTGTTTCCAATATGTACTCTCAACCTTCTGATATCAAGCTTTTGGGGGAGTGTTATGACACTGAAGAGATAGTTTCAATGCAGTAAAATATACTTATTTGGGATGTCTACTCTCAGAATCTCTTCAGTAGCTCCACTGACTTTGGGATTCTGAGAGTTATACCTTTAAAAAGGAGTATTTCCAAGCTTTGAGTGTTTTATCGAAGTCTACCGGGGTCTTTTGTTGACTGTATTGACTATTCTAAAATCTTTGACTGTGTGGATCATAATAAATTGTGGCAAGTTCTTGGTGGTATGGGGATACCAAGCCACTTTAGCTGTCTCCTGAGGAATCCGTATAACAACCAAGTAGCAACAATAAGAACAGATCATGGAACAACCGACTAGTTCAAGATTGGAAAAGGAGTACGGCAGGGCTGTGTACTCTCACCCTCATGCGACGTGCTCTGTATACCATGTAGGTAACAGGCAGTGAAGCAGCTCTGCGTTGTAGGTTTACCCAACTTTGTAAAATCCAAATTTGAAAAATCAAGTTCTTTTTTTCAAATATTTTCAAGCTGTGATTGATTGAATCCTTGGATGCCGAATCCGTGGATAGGAAGGCCTGACTGTAAGTCAGAAACAGTAAAGTCTCTTTCATTAGATATTTTTGAACAGAGGATGAATGGCCATATGTCAGGGAAAGTACAGTAGCAGATTTCCTACATCAGAAGAAAATTGGACCAGGTGACTTCAAATGTTGTTTGTTCCTTTCCTCTGCAACCAGCTCTTGCTCTCTCCTTAATGGGCCCTTAATCTCTCATCTCTGTCAAGGGTCAAATATAAACTCTCAGATCTGTCTTAGTCTGAGATTACCAAGAGTGTGCTCATCAGGAGACATGTAATTTAATTTAATCAGTTATCTTAGGAAGTCTTGGAACAGATTTCTTTTCTCTTCATTCTGCACATGCCCACTTTTCCCAGCCGCACATGCCCACTTTTCCCAGGGGAGGTGGAGGTGGGATAGAAGAATAAAGTTATTATTATTATTATTATTATTATTTTATCATATCAGAAGTGGCTTAGGAATATACTGCAAGTTACTTCTGGTTTGAGATAATTGGCTGTCTTCAAGAACGTTGCCCAGGGGATGCCCAGATGTGTTACCATCCTGAGGGAGGTTTCTCTCATGTCCCTGCATAGGAAGCTGGAGCTGACAGATGGGAGCTTATCCCATCTCGTGGATTCGAACCACCAACCAGGTCTTCAGGTCAGCAGTTCAGCCTGCACAATGCTTTAACCCATTGTGCCACACTGGCTCGCACAAAAGTGCTTAAAATGTATAATATCAAAAGCAAGGAAGAAAAGGGTTAAAAGGCATAACTGGACTTGAGTCTAGCATGAGTTTTTGTGAATTACATCCCAAGGAATAAACTTCTGTATCCAACTGAGCCATCAAGGAATACGGGGTCTATATGCTGTATTTCAGGACAGAAGGCAATGGGAAGCCGCTTCGGAGTATCCCTTGCCTAAGAAAGCCCTATGAAACACATACGAATGCTATGACACATGCATCAAACTGGCATAAAGCTGATACTATTAAACTGGTTGATTAAATCCTAGTAAATGCAGGAGAAATGTGAGACATTGCTGTTTTGATCCACGTGTACTGGGAAGGAGAGTTTGCTCTTAAGGAGTCTGGACTGGTTATGACTCCATACTACAGCTTGCAGGCATTGGAGGACCTGCATGTTCTGTTACAGAAAAGTACAGGCAATGCTTGGCATTTGCAATGGCTTTATAGATTATATCCATGCTCATAAACCTTTGTGTATCTCTTATTCCATTCCACTGAGGCTTATCTGTAGACTGTTATCACCCCTCTTCTGTCTCCTGCTCCCACGTCTGTCTCTTCTGCCCCTTGCCTTGCAGAGCACCAACAGCCACTGTCTCCTCCTCCTCTAAATTAATCAGTGTCCTTCTCCAAATCCAGATGTCATCAGCAAAAAATACTTTTTACAAACAGCCTTAGACTTCCTCTTTTCCTCCCCTTCCTACTACAAATTGTCACTTCCCAATGCCTACCTCCTGTTGCCATTTGGACCTGTTTAGTAGGGTTGGGTGTTTTTAAGCCCTCCTAAACACTAAGAACATCTCAAATCTGAAAAACATATATATTTAGGCTACAGCTCTAGAAGTGGCTATGAGATAAGTGACTTTTAGGCTCTAGTCAAAAAAGACCCCCACCCTACCCAAGGCCTTATTCTAAAAGTTGCTGGTGAGGGACAACACTGCAGTAATCCAGGCTAAAAGCTATCCAGTTTTCTCTTGGAACAGCTCTGTGCAACAATTCTAGGCTAACTGGTTTGATGACTGCAGTGAATGACATTTTTAATAGGGTGATGATTGAGCTATAAGCTATGCCATTCAGATTATTTTGTTTGCATAATGTATACACTGACTCCATTACTGCAGTGGTAATTTGCACATTGTCAGTTATATCCAAGCCGTGTAACGACACTACAATTGCATCACCTTATAAAGTCAGATAGTTGCAATTGTAGTATTGTTAGATGGCTTTGATTCAAATATTATTTGTTTGCCTTCTCCCTAAACTGGGACTCCAGTGGCTTATAACAGAATTGACTGTAAGGGCATTGGAAAGACCATCAGTGCTATCCTATGAAAACACAGTTAAATGACTGAAATAAAAATACACCAGTTTAAAAAGAACCCTATCTGTCCTTTGGTTGATCCCTGTATGTGCATGGTCCCCTTTGAATATACAGTTGGACCTCTGTTTACACAGGGATCAAAGGTACAGGAACCCTGGAAAAGTGGGAAAACCACAAATATTTCTAGGTTCCTCAAACACATTTTTAAAAACCCTGTTCTGACAGGGAGGCTGAGTCCAGCTACATGTGGACAGGAATAGCCAAGAGGATGGAGCGGTAGAGAGGAAAGAGTGAGATCAGAGTGGGCACAGGTCTCAGGGTAGTATACAGAATACTTCTGCTATTTAAGTTGCTTACTGCCTCCTCCCTTTTCACTGCTTATACCCTCCTCCTGCTGCCACACATGAAACACAAATTAATTTAATGCTGAGATTTGGGTCCCAAGTCCAAGACACCTCAGTATGCATGTATATGCAAATACAGGTACTCCAAAATCTAAAAAATACATTCTGAAATCCAAAATATCTCTGACTCCAAGCATTTCAGATAAGGGATACTCAACATGTATTGATTCCTGGCTCAGTAGGGACAAGAAGCATATACATAAAATGAAGTCATGGATGAAATGTGGATTCTGGAGAGTGTAGTTTTAAAAGGTGACTTTTCCAAGATCTGGTCAAGAAAATAGCATTGTCAGCTTGTAACCCAAATGCTAATTTTAGATCATCCGGTGTATTACATCCAACATGAACTGATTTCCCCTCTCAGCATGCAGGGCTTTCCTTCCTTTTCGCTTGCAGTGCTCAAGTGCGGTGGAGAGTTGAGGGGCTCTACAGAGCAGATCTAGTTGGCTCGGGGCTGCAGAGAAGGAGGAATCTGTTCTTCTGATAGGTCAATTCTGTTGGAAGGTGTACAACATCAGATACAATAAGTTGAAAGCCTTAACTGACTTAATTAATCAGATTAATCAACTCAAACTTGACATAATTAATCAGTAAATGCCAACTCTAATCAATACATGGATGTTTAATAAAAAAATTAAAGGATGGCTTTCATTCTGACATGTTTTTATATTGGGTAATGGAAATGAAACATACTAAGACCTTTCTACCTGTCGCTTAGGTAATAAATTTTAAATTATTCCACATTTCCATTATTATTATTATTATTATTATTATTATTATTATTATTATTATGCTGTTTGAGTTTAATTACTTAGGCAGGGTGGGCAGCTTTGTCAGGTCCAGGAGCCAAACTCCCCACTCCAAAAACCCATCACAACCCCATCAACTGTGATTGCCTTATTTAAAAGTTTGTCCCTTACAGGGCAGGCAGGTCAACCTCATTGTAAGAAATGTCCTCTATTTGCAAGTTGGAATGCTTTTCCTTTTATATAGACTGAACAGGATGCCTAAAACATCCCTTATTTTTAGATGTGTCCCAATCAGGCAGACAGAAATTTCCATGCCGTACAATTTATGGATGTGAACAATATTCAAGAGAATTGCATGGCTAATTTAACTAAAATCAATGCTTTCATTTGATATCTAAGTAGAACACAAACTTATTATTAGCTACTGAAATTAAACTGTTTATACAACAAGGCAAATATTATAATTACCATCACTGAAAACTGTCAGGACAAGTCTCATGCTAGGAATATAGTAATAGAGGTGTATAACTTATTTCTCAAAAATAGACCAAAAAGGAAAAGAGGAGTTGCACTGCATATCAAGGAAGGGTATAAATAAACCTCATCATCATAATCATCATACATCTGTGAGGAGATCCATGTTGTAAATCCTAGAAGAGGCACCATTTTAGGTCTAATCGTAACCAACAGTGATGACCTGGTAAATAAGATTGCAGTAGCTAGTTCAGTAGCTAATTATGTCATATTTGTTTAGGTGGGAGTGACCATATTCTTGCAGAGTTTGTTTTACAGCGGAAAGGGGAAGTCAAGCATGGTCAAATTCACACACTCAAAGGCTGACTTCAGTAAACTTAGGGACAAAGCTGAGTATAATTCTATGGTCAGGAATAGTAAAAGATGGTGTTCATGATAGATGGCAGCTTTTGGAAAGGGAAATATTGGGAGGAACAATTTCAAAGTGTTTCAATAAGGAGGAAAAATAGGAGGTACCTTAAAAAACACAATTGATATCTAAGGAACTTTCCGTTGAGCTAAGATTTAAAGGGGACATGTAGAAGTCATGGGAAAAGGGAGAAATCGCCAAGGAGGAACTCAAAGGACTAGCCAGTATGTGTAGGGAGAAAGCTAGAAAACACAAAGTGCAGAAAAATCTCAAGCTTGCTAGAGAGGTTAAAAGCAATAAAAATGACTTTTTTGTTATGTTCTTAACAAAAGAAAGAACAAGGAATTAGTAGGGCTGCTACACACAGATGATGGTGAAATGCTAACAGGGGACAGAGAATAGGCAGAACTACTCAATGCATCCTTTGCCTCAGTCTTCTCCCAAAAGGTTAACAGTGCTCAACTGAGGAAGATGGAGTAGAGCAATGGTTCTCAACCTGTGCGTCCCTAGATGTTTTGGCCTTCAACTCCAGAAATCCTAACAGCTGGTAAACTGAGATTTCTGGGGGTTTAGGCCAAAACACTTGGGGAACCACAGGTTGAGAACCACTGGAGTAGAGGATGCAGCAAGGGAAATGCAGCACAGAATAGATAAAATGGCAGTAAAGGAATATCTGGCTAATCTAAATGAATTCAAGTATTCAGATCAAGATGGATTACATCCAAGGATATTAAAGGAATTGGCAGAAGTCATTTCAGAAACAATAGCAACCATCTTCAAGAATTCCTGGGGAACAGTAGAAGTTCCAGCAGACTGGAACAAAGCAAATGTTGTCCCCATCTTCAGAAAGGAAAGTTGCAGTCCCCAGAGCTTTCTGGGATCAAAGTTTTCTTTTGAGCAAGGCCAAAAAAGATGTCGTTTTAACATACTTTTACTCCTGGATTTCATGGACAGAAGGTAATGACAACTCATTATTTCCATATGAGTGGACAGTAGATCCATTCTATGTTTAGTCCAGTTTTTTGTGGAGTTAACCAGGATGCTGAACCATAGTTCAAAAATAGGTACAAACAGGTCTTTAAAAACTTGGAAAGGATTCATCACCTAACTAAGTGGTTCTCAATTTGTGGGTCCCCAGGTGCTTTGGCCTACAGCTCCCAGAAATCCCAGCCAGTTTACCAGCTGTTGGGATTTCTGGAAGTTGAAGGCCAACACATCTGAGGACCCGCAAGTTGAGAACAACTGACCTAACTGGAAGCTAATAGGTACACTGGTTAAAAATGTTGAGGTTCCAGGATTACAAAGTCAGGGTGGAACCTCTATTTTGCCTACCTTATTCATAGAACCTAATAATATAATTAATGAAATGATGAAATGAAACTTTATTTATAGCCAACTCACAACAATGGCAAACATTCAATGCCAGCTGTAATATATAAGCAAATCAATAAAAAAATCAAGAACAACTCAATAAATTATAAACAAATGTAATCCACATAATTACTAACATATTGAATCCTTAAAATATCATTTAAAATATCTAAAATTTGGCTAAAATTGTTGGGGGAGAGATGGAAAGCAGCAAGTATAATCCCCACCCTTCAGAATAGGGAGAAAAGTAAGCATATATGATTGTATGTACATGATTCCTGTTTATTATTTATTTATTTACTTCATTGATACCCTGCCTTTCTCACCCTGCTGTTTTTTTATTAGTGCATACCAACAGCAGAAAGAAAAACATCTGTACTGGCTTGATCCATATTCCGCAGATCTTTGTGACCACTGTCCCAGCTTCCAGCTGCTTCAAGCAATGCCTTTGTAGGCACTCCAAAGTGAATTGGCTCTTAAATCCACATCCTGGCATGGATTAAATGGCTGTATAGAAGCAGTCATCATATTCTAAGGATTAAAATTGCACAAACTATTTGCAGCATGCTGTAGTTAACAGTCGGTTATTTTATCTCTACAGCTTCATGCAGAAAACTGGCCTTTTGGAGTTGAAATATGTAAATTGTTCCCGTTTATTCAAAAGACATCAGTGGGCATCACCGTCTTAAGTTTATGTGCTCTCAGTATTGACAGGTGAGATCAATTCTTTTTTCCCTCTTTCCTCCTCCTCTTCTTTTAATCCCAATATGCAGATGTGGTGCAAGGTAAATAGAAATAGAAGGTAAATAGAAGATCCAGAATATCAGAGAAAGGACTGAGAGGAGGATGGTGGTATGTGGGAAAGGAAGGCAGGAAGGAATTTATTTTAGAGTAAAGTGGAATCCTGTCACTTTCTCACTGAAGATCTAAACTGCTCTTCTGCCTTCTGTCTGCTTGCACTCAGAGATCTCTTCACTTTCCTAAGAACTGTACAACATGTGTCTACTGACTGAGGAAATACTGCTGAAAAATGATGACACTGTGCTAAATCTTGAAGCAGGGATACAGTACCGTTGGCCCTCCAGATAACTTGGATTACAACTCCCATCAGCCTCCACCCAGCATGGTCAGCAAGGAGAAATGATGAAAAGTGTAACTCAAAATATCTGGAGTTTGCCTCCCCTGCCCTGCAGACATACATTCCTTGGTGTAACATTCCAATTAGATCAGTCTTCCTCAACCCAATGTTTTCCTGCAGCTCAGTGTGTCTTCTACACTACAATTTTCCCATCTGGCATGTCCAGTGATCAAGGGGAATATGAGCTGTAATCCAAACCACATTGAAGAAAGTCTTAATCAGTATCTAACCGTTGTTTACTTCTTGTGTTTAGATATCGAGCAGTAGCTTCATGGAGCCGGATCAAGGGAATTGGTGTGCCAAAATGGACAGCAGTTGAAATTGTCTTGATCTGGGTTGTGTCCCTTGTTTTAGCTATTCCTGAAGCCATCGGCTTTGATATGATTACTATGGATTACAAGGGAGAGAAACTTAGGGTTTGCCTACTTAATCCTCGGCAAGAATCTTCTTTCATGCAGGTAAGGTGTGCTGTCTTATGGACCTGTTGTTTCTTTGATATAACTATAACACCAGCCATGGCCTTGACCCTCTATTCAACCTACGAATTTAACCCTTAGGCATCTATGGTTTCTGTTCAGCCCATATTTATTTATTTCCTATATTTGTACCCCACCCTTCTAACCCCCAAGGGGGACTCAGGGCAGTCTCACAACAAGCGCCATATGATGCCATCACCATCATGAAACATTCAACAAATACATTAAAAACAGTTAATTAAAAACAATTAGTTAAAACACACCAGTTAAAATCCAAATCCAAGTCTGGGTCAATTCATTGTCATGAGTTGCCTAAGTCTTCTTTCCACTTGCTGCTATTCAATGGTCAAACGCTTGGTCCCATAGCCAAGTCTTGAGTTTTCTTCTAAAAGACAGGAGGGAAGTGGCCAATCTGATGTCCCTGGGGAGAGAGTTCCACAGACGGGGGCTCGCTAACGCTAAACCCAACGCAGAGAGAGAGAGGAGAAATGCTCTCTGTACGACTGCCTCTCTATCCTCTCCACTACTCACCCTCTCCCTCCCCCCCCTACACCATCCGATCGCAAATCCTACACAAAGAGTATACGCATACCCCCCCCGTAAGGGGGCACTGCTGAGAAGGCCCTGTCCCTCATCCCCACCAATCGCGTTTGCGATGGCGGTGGGATCGAGAGCACGGCCTCTCCAGATGATCTTAAACTCCGTGATGGTTCATAACAGGAGATATGTTCGGGCAGGTAGTCTGATTCCCACCTGGTTAGCTTTAACTACCGCCCAGAAGTCTCTCTGAACTTCCTGTGCCTCCAGTGAGGCAGCCGGATCATGCATTGCCATGGCTCACAATATGGTCCCAATTCCCAGTGGTGTTGGTCCTAATGCCCATTCCATCCCATTCCCAGAGTGACAAGGATGCTACCACTGTGTGAGGTGGGGAGTGCTTTTCTCCTGTAAATGGTTAAGCACCACTTTTCTGGCAGAATGGACAGACCCTATAGGCCCTTTACACACAACACCATTTAACACTATAACTCCACTTCAATAAACATGGAAAAGTCCCACGCAATCCTGTAGACTACAGTTCTCTCTGACTGAGAATTGTAAATTTGGTTCACCCTCATCTTTCACAATGGTTAGAGGCACATGATCTTCACAAAAGTGGAAAATACAGGCCTTTTATTTTTATTTTATTACAAAGAATAATAGAGTTAGAAGAGACTGCAAGGGCCATCCACTCCAACCCCTGTCATGCAGAAATGCACAATCAACACGGGGCCCACATTTGGTAAGGGCCTGGGGATTGCATCCAGGACCCTAAAAAACCAAGAAGGCACCCACTCCCTCTCATCAAACGCCAAAAATAACCCCTTAAAGGTTTAAAAATCTTACCCAGCTGCCATTATCTTCCTCCTTGCACCTTCCTGGCATGAGGAAATGACGCACGAGGAGACCGGGGGAGGAGGAGGGGGGACTCAGAGGAAGATAAGTGGCTGGGTAAGTTTTTAGAAACGTTTAAGGGGTTGTTGTTTTGGGAGGCTTTGGGATGATTGCATGCCATCCCAATTGTTATTGGGATGGCATGCAGTTACCCATCCCAGGAAAGCCTGGGTTTTGGGTGGATTGCGCAGACTTAAACCCATGCTGAAACGGGTTTTTCAAGCCCACTTTGGCACGTGTTTAAGTCCTGTGTGGAAGTGCCCTGTATTCCAATCAGAATCCTTTGTGTGTCAGAATAAAGGTTATCATTTTTATTGACATGTTAAAAAAATTAAAAATTGTAATAATGCAAAAATGTTATCCCCCACCTGTTCTCTCTTAGAGTTACAAGGAAGCTAAAGATTGGTGGCTTTTCAGTTTTTATTTCTGCTTGCCATTGGCAATCACAGCACTTTTCTATACACTGATGACCTGCGAGATGTTGAGAAAGAAAAGTGGGATGCAGATCGCTTTAAATGACCATTTGAAACAGGTAAATACATTTATGACATCTCTGTTGTTTCTGAAAGGGACAAAATGCTTCTATCCTTAGTGCTTTCTTGATATTTTTGGACCACAACGCCCTCTGTTTCTTATCACTGGATATAATGGCAGGAACTTATGGGAGCTGTGGTAAATAAAACATGGATAATGTCAGGTAGACTTTTCTTAGGTTTACCAGGTTGTCTGCAGGGCACTGCTATCATACCCATACATTTCCCAGTGAAGCAGATTGTGCCGTGAACATGGCTTCTTCTGACTTTTTTCTGCAGAATCCCCTTGTCCACCTATTCCAGTTTTACTAAGACTGTTAAAAATGGGAAAGGGTATCTGTTTTGTTCCAGGGGTTGGCTTCCAATTCGGAAAGGATCCCAGGGCTTGCATTACAGCAGTGGGCAGGGCCAAAAGACAGCAGGGTGAACTCAAACTGCATGGAAGCAAATGTAATTCCTACCAATTTTGGCAAATTCCTATCAGTGATACAAAGCACAGCTTAGTTCTGGGCATGTCTCTACTCAAGCGTACACCCTAGTGCAATCCCATGTGTTAATAAAGAAGATCTGTTACTATCAGCCGCATTTGGCTAATACAATGGGACAAAGTTAAGACCCTTTAGCTTGTTGAGTTGCTTACAACCAGCACCTTTACAAAACTTGCATAGGAAATATCCCTCCACATGTTCTGGACTACAACTCCCATAAGCCCCATCCAGGTTATAACATTGCCTACCCTCTTGCATCACATTTTGTTTCTACTGTCCAGTATTTCTAAGGCAGGGAAATAATATGCAAGGCATGAAAGAGATATAAAAGATCTATCTCCTAGCTGTCCAAACATGGAAATGGTGTGCTGTGTGGGGTCTGGGAAAACATGGAGATGCCTTCTTTAAAACTACCATACTTATGACTTCCTCTTGTTCGATCAGAGTCATTACCATTAATCTCCCAGTGCAGTAGTGATATTTATGCAGCTAAATAAAGTTAGAAAGTTTGGTGGTTGGTTGGTGTTGTTTGACTGTGTACAATTACTCTATCCAAATGCTACCAGCCACATTTCTATCTTTTTATTAATTTCTAAGTTGGAACTATTTAAGGTAGTTAGAGAGCCATGCCTAACAAAAAACAGAAATAGAATTATCTTTTGAAGCATCAGTGAGACCAAAGTCAATTCACTTGGGATCCGCCCAAAGCACCTTTAATATTTTGCCTAATCATCTTATCTTTTCATAGTCAGTCCAGAAATAGGAGTATGGGATATTTGGCATTATGGAGAATAAATAGAGTGAATCCAGGGGTTATCAGAGATCATTTTCAAATGGTAAAATTCAGCTTCTTTGATTGTAACTCCCTCCAATCTGCCCATTATGGTTTTTGCTTTCAGAGACGTGAAGTGGCAAAAACAGTCTTCTGCTTAGTGCTAGTTTTTGCCTTATGTTGGCTACCTCTTCATCTCAGCAGAATACTCAAGTTCACTCTTTATAATGAGAATGACCCAAACAGATGTGAACTTTTGAGGTAAGATGTTATGATGGCATATACCACCATTGGTTTTTTTTTTACTTTTCAACTATGCTTCTCAGAAAATTGCAGGGAATGTTGTAATGAGAAAACACAGAGCAGGATGATATAGCTGTGAATTATGGGAGATATATAGGACTCTCATTAAGCTTGTAGTTCAGTCAAGACTATGCTGAATGCCAGTTATTTGTTCAATTTCCCAGTCCATTGTGTGATCATTGATCATATATTCAGGGATGACAACTGCCATGGTTTTGCAGGGACATTGTCAGTGTGACCCTATGGAGGGCCATAAAATATAATATAATAGCATGGCCCCTTACTTAAACATATATGCACACACTCAAAAATTGGGCAGGCACAAAAATGTTTTGGAGGGTTTTCTGTTCCATGGTGAATTATAGTGCTGTTTTCCGTCTCTTAAAGGGTGCTACTTGTAAGGTTGGTACATTTTCTCCAACTTCTTTAGACCTGTGCTGGCCTTATTTTTCAAACAAGAAGTCAAACATGTACATGAGTCTCCCATGTGGCAAAATGGCCAAGACAACTCAAAAGGTTGGCAGGTACTGTTTTGAAAAAAAGAAAACATCTCCAGTCTCCACGGGGCATGGGGACTCTCGGCACAAAAAATATCCTTGGGGCCACATTAAGCCCGTGGACCAAGGTTTGCTCACAAAAAGTACATTCTTGTACTGCTAAGTAGATCATGATGAAATAGCTTTTCCTGCTGTGCCATCATTCTAGCTACAGGCCCACTTTAAGTAAAGTGTTTTGCCTCTTCTACCTACACTTGAATATCACATGCCTCTCAAAAACTGACTAGTTTCTCTGGTGATAGCTTGCCAACTATGGACTGGTAAATATTGAAGTGTGCATGCTTGGCATGAGAGTCCCCAAAATCATACCCTTAAAGAAATGTGAGATGTGCCAACAGTGAACACTATCTGTCTTTGTGTGTGATTGTGTCCACACACACAAAGAACAGCAGTATGTAGCATTACTGTTGTGTGCCTTCAAGGCATTTCCGACATGGTGACCAGAAAGCAGGCCTGCACAACATGCAGCCCGGAGGCCAGATACAGTCCTCACAAGAATTTGGTGTGCCACAGAGCTCTGAGCCTAAGCCTTAGGGAGGTCAAATGCAGCACTACAGCAGAGTAGCAATTGTTACCTGTCATTCTTTCCAAGTGTTTTACCTCTACACATTTCCTTTATGTACCAAAGGTACCAAACTGATCTATGGTTGGCAAGGTGGAAAGAAAAGTGAGTGTCAAAGGTCACCCAATGGACTGGCTGAGTGGATATTTGAATATGGGTTTCACATTACACATTAGTAGCCCTAATTCCTGTGACTACATCCTGTGACATCTCAGGATTTGTACTTTGGTGAGAAGTGCTCTTTGGCCCCTCCCTCAACTGCAAATCCTAGGATCCTATAGGATATTGCCATGGCAGCTGAAATGGAATCATAGCACTATAACTAGGGTCAAGGGGATTTTAGTCTGTCTATCTCATAGGAGTGAAAAGTTAATCTGCATTAGCAAAAGGGTTTTTTTAATCATTTTAGGTTGAGAATTTTAAGGAAAACACATGCATCTCTTTGATTCCTAGCATCACTTTCTGCATGTACAAAATTCTTTCCCCACCAATAATATACAAATAAATGTGCATGACCCATGCATTTTAAAAACATACACAAGCTTAACAACTGTGGGAAAAGTATATGTTAAGAGCCATGTGTAAAAGATGAATATATATTGAAGAGCAACGTATATTCAGAATGCATAAAAATGTCTGTACTGGAAGGGGAAAATAACCTGATGATACAGAACTTGGATGAAACAAAAAGGTGAAAGATTCAGGGACACTGAGTGTAAATAAAATGAACAGGTTTTTCACATCTCTGTTCTAACAGCAGTACTACTCCCTAACATATTTTGATTTTTTAACCCATTTTTCATGCAGCTTTTTACTGGTGTTAAACTACATTGGCATCAATATGGCATCTCTGAATTCCTGCATTAATCCCATTGCTCTGTACTTAGTGAGCAAAAGATTCAAGAACTGCTTTAAGGTAGGATATTTACATTCATTGTTAAGGTGGAATTTGACTGAAGTTGAATTCTCTACCACTACATAACTTTTACAGCAATTGTACAGAAGGCTGATTGGAACTATTTTGGAATAGTTAGTAAGGGATGGTGGGGCGGGGGTGAAAATTGAGTGGATAGCATTTTTGTTTAGTATAATATAACAACTGGCAGGATCATTACTTTGTAAGATAAATAGTATTGTTTATATATTACTCCTAAAACGTTGCTTGGAGTAGGGGCATACTGTATTTTCTCATCAAAATATTTGCGAAAATTTTGATACCTTTCTCAGTATTTTTCTTTATATTTAAAAATAAAGCTAACATGAGAGTGATACGTTACGAACACATTGCTTTTAAAAAATATATGCAATCAGGAACTTATTTGGAAAAATGACAAGCAGTTCAAAGTACTTTGAAGAAACAATGTTTCATGCCATGGGGATAGGGAGAGCAATGCACAGACAGGGTTATTATTGACTATGGAAAGGAATAAGAAAGCCAAAGTCAAAGAGACAAATTATGGGAAAGACCTGACTGTATTTGCAGAACACACTTGCTGGGTTGTAACTTCTGTATATGTGGATGAACTTGACTGATACTTCATAAATACAGTCAAGATACACCAACACTTAAACTCCTCTCTTGTCAAGATGAAGAATTGCTCATCTTTTAGTCCACAGGATGGCCCAGCAGGCATCAGTGCATATTTCACACTTCACAACACATTGTCCACAATGCAGAAATAACGTGATTAAGCATGAACTGTACACTAGGTTGTGTGCCATGGGATGCAATTCACAGGTGTCTTTGTGATTTCTATGTTAAGAAATACAACATTTAGCATAACAATCCCACAGGATCTGTCTGTCGGTCGATCTCTGTCTTGTTTGTTTGTTCAGAGCTTTGCTCACTTGCACTTTTAGACTGCTTAATTGAAAGAGTGCTCTGGGGAGTAAATAATACATGAAAATATAAAGTACAAAAAAGAAAAGCAATGATACATAATAAAACCAAGATAGAAATCAGCAGCAATCATAAAAATATAATTGTCCATAAAACTGAAATAAAACTATCAGGAGGAAGCTAAGAGACTATTAGACAAGACAGAGATTGTTTGGGTCAGTCGCAAGGCCAAACAGGGTTATAGGGTTACAGCCTGTGCTGAATGAGGTTACACTCCTCTTGAAGACACAGGTTCGGAGCTTGGTAGTGATCCTGGGCACATCACTGAGCCTGGAACCCCAGGTTTCGGCAGTGGCCAGGGGAGCTTTTGCACAACGAAAACTTGTGTGCCAGTTGTTGCGCCTGTACCTTGGGAAGTCAGACTTGGCCACAGTGGTCCACGCTCTGGTTATATCCCGTATAGATTACTGCAATGCCCTCTACATGGGGTTGCCTTTGAAGATGTTTCAGAAGCTTCAATTGATCCAATGGGCAACAGCCAGGTTGCTCATTGGAGCGACATTCAGGGAGCATACAACCCTCCTTGTTACGTCAGCTCCACTGGTTGCCAGTCTGCTACCAAGCACAATTCAAAGTTTACTTGTCCAAACATATCTTCCTCTATGAACCACCTTGGAGATTAAGATTGTCTGGGAAGGCCCTGCTCTCAGTCCCACCTTCTTTGCAAGAGCAACTGGTGGGGATGAGAGACAGGGCCTTCCCAGTGGTGGCCTTCAGCTGTATAACTCCGTCCCCAGTAACATTAAATCAGCCCTCTCCCTCCAAGCCTTCAGAAGCAGAGTTAAAACCTGGCTCTGGGATCAGGCTTTTGAAAAATAGCACAGTGCCTATCCTGTGAGAGGAAGCCACAGGAAAGAGGGAGCAAGCTTGTTTTCTGCTTCCTTGGAGACTAGGACGCGGAACAATGGCTTCAAACTACAAGAGAGGAGATTCCATCTGAACATTAGGAAGAACTTCCTGACTGTGAGAGCCGTTCAGCAGTGGAACTCTCTGCCCCGGAGTGTGGTGGAGGCTCCTTCTTTGGAAGCTTTTAAGCAGAGGCTGGATGGCCATCTGTCAGGGGTGATTTGAATGCAATATTCCTGCTTCTTGGCAGGGGGTTGGACTGGATGGCCCATGAGGTCTCTTCCAACTCTTTGATTCTATGATTCTTCTTTGTCTTTTTTCCTTTTGTAGTGGCAAGACCACATCACTTTTTAACTACTAGTGTATATAATCTCAATAAAAATCAATTAAAAAAAAGAAAAATAGCACAGTGCAAGAATCTAATTGGAGTATGTGCAATAACTACGGAACTGCCTTAGACTACAATTTCTAGATGGGATGATTTTAACATTGAATGTAATTTTAAAAGATTTAATATGTATTCATTTTAATTTAATTGATTTTAAACTTAATGTTTGTATATATTTAAGGCACCAAATAATTGCCATATATAAGCTGCCTTGAGTCCCCCTTGGGGTAGAAAAAGATGGGGTATAAATAGGGTTAATAATAAATAATAAATAAAAAATATTAAGTTCTAAAAACACTAAAAACAATCCTTAAAAATACTTGTAAAAATAAAATGTGCTTCACTTGGGACTATAAATATTATAATGTAGGCTTGGAGGGAGGAATATAGGAATGTCTTAGAAGATGCCATGGGAAACAGGAGGGCAGATGTAAGAGGAGATACTCTTAAAGAAAACCCAGAACTGAGAATCCCAAGAATTACCATTTTATGTATCTCTCAGTAAAGCATTTATCCACATCCTTAGAAAACTAAAAATCTTATGGTCCTTTGAAAGTACCCAGAAGAGGCATAGTTTCTTAAACTTTGTGGAATAGAAATACTTTAAAAAAACGAGCATTCATACTATCTGTAATACAGAAATCATTTTTTTGAGCTTTCCTGACTCTTGTGTGATTTATCTTTTTTGCGCTTGTTTTATTTAATGTGTGTTTTCCTTTTCTTTTGATTCCCGAATCCTTATTGTTATCAGTATATCAACTGTTTTTGTTGCTGTTGTTTTGCTTTTGTGTATACTATATTGAACTTTTCCACAAGTCTCTACTTGCATAAATGTTGGATCTCATGGCACTATTATCACTGTTCTACTTTGGCCTGATAAAGCCATTGGTCCTTGGGAATCCAAAAGCATATGATTTACTGTTAAACCCATCCACACATGGGTTTACTGCCATCCACACATTGAAATGGCTGGGTTCTGCCTATCTTGCTGACCCTGCACATGGAAAAAGGAACAGCACCCTACAAAGGCATATGTGGGATTTCATCTTCTGACCTAGCAACTTTTTTTCCAGGACTCCATGACTACATTCACCAGTGTTGTTGGTATTGAGGTGCACCATAATTATTGACTCCTTGCCCCAGTTAATCTACATGGTGCAGGATGGCTACAACCTTCACACAGGCAAGCAATTCATCATGGGATTAGTACATTCATCAAAAACCCATCTCTTCTACATTCAAATAATCCATGTCATTGGCATGAGAGAGTCCATTCTAAAGAGTCATTTCTCCCTTCCACATGATGTTCACTTCCTTTGTTGAAATCCTCATTCATTTTCCATGGCACCAAACAAATTGCAACCCTTAGAGTGAGATTTCTGCACCACATCCCTGAAGATTTCATGTACATATCTTTTGTGTCTTGCCTTGCTTAGCTTATGCAGACGTATCTGCATATCTCTCTTTGTAGAGAGATAAAGCAAGAATACACACTCGAAGTAGTCTGATTGTGTTATCTGTGTGATTCATTCTCCATAGCACAAATGTTGTTCCCTCCTGAAATTCCACCTTCATGCGTCAAGTCAATATCATATTTCACTACTCAGCATTATAGAACTAACTTTCTCTCATTTTGGAAGGGGCATGATTTTAGGGTGTTAATTCATTTGTTATTGTAGTATAATAATTTGTTTAACTGTATTTGATACGTATTGTGGTTTTAATTATACTTAAGTTTGAATCATGTGTGAACTGCCTTGGGCTCCAACATTGGGAGAAAACTAGCCATTTAATTAATTAAATGTCCATAAATCTCCCACAAATTCAGCTTCATTTATTTTTTAGTCCTGTATAAGCAAAAATAATGAAATATGTTACGTCTGTATAAGAATCGTATTATGAAGCTGGGTGCTGTAAGCATGAAAAGTTTAGGTTTAGTTTTTGCTAAAAGCCATTTGAATATTCAACTAGGATTCTGGGACACCAAAGATCAAATCTCCTTTCAATTACAGAAACCCATGGGGTAACCTTAGTCAAGACCGTGGTCTATAGCTGATACCAGGCTATATGCCCATTTTTAATGTTGTGTAAGCAGGCAGGGAAGTTGCTCACTCAAATATGTCACATTTATTCACTCAAATATGTCAGGCCTGTAACATCACTCTTTCAGCCTCAGAAGCCATACCTCTGAATAAATTTTGCAAAGAAAACCCTACAAAAGGGCCGCCATAAGCCAGAGTTGAAGGCACATAACACATAAGTAAATGCACTACTGATAAACAAAGCCAGGACATCGGAAAGAGAGAGACCAATAGACTCACCCCCAAAAGTTCTACATAGCTGTTCATGAAAGAAGAACCTTTGATCTACACTCAACATTCAGATACAGGTTGAGCATCCTTTAACCAACATGCTGGGGACCAGAAATGTTTTAAATAATTGTTTAAATATTGCTGATGAATTTTGGTTTTAGTGTATATGTTTATTTTTATTGTATGTGTATGGCATCAAATTGCTGCCTTTTTGTAAGGCCACTCTGAGTCCCCCTTTTGGGGTGAGAAGGGTGACATATAAATGTAGTAAGTAAGTAAATAAATAATTTTTATCTGGATTTTTCAGATTTTGGCATACCTATATTTGCATATATGTACACAATAAGATTTCTTTGAGTTGAGACCTTAGTCTAAACACAAAACTCATGTAGGTGTCACATACACCTTATATACCTAGGCTGAAGGCAGTTTTATCTATAGAAATTAAAATGTAATGTTCGTTTATGGGATTAACAGAACTCAAAAACCACTGGACAAATTGACACCAAATTTGGACACAATACACCTATCAGGCCAACAAGTTACCATCACTGTTAAAAACATTGGAAAACACAGAAAAAGAGACTTAAAAAGCCAAAATACAAAAAATATGCACAAAACCACACATGCACAAAACCACATATATATATACACAAAATACATATAAACAGATAGGGCCACAACAACCCATGGCAAGGGATGGCTAATATACAATACTGATAATAATTTTTATGCATAAAACATAATTTACATACACTGAATAATCAGAAGGCGTTTTGGAGTTTTGAATTCTCAATAAGGGATACTCAGCCTGTACTTGTTATAAAGAGTAACACTCAGATTGTTGATATGGATGTAACCCCAAGATCCAGATGTACTCTGTGTTGAAGCAATTGGTTTAAGGCACTGTGATTTATTTATGACCCCTCAGTACTGTCAACCAAAGTAGAAGGTTTACTGACTAGAGGCCCATTAAGACATCCTTAAGAGATGGAATCTCTGCATGTGAGACTACAAAGTGCAGGTAAGAATATTCAGGGAGGAAATGTGGCCCACGCTTTCCAGTAGTTATTGCATAGATCCTCCTTCTGTTTGATACCCTGCGAACTAATGAGACAGGCTACAACCACAAACATCTTTCTCCTAATGAACTAAAAATGGTTCTGGATTCACTCTGTGAAATAGGCAACAATAATTCTGTATTTTACTGTGTTCTACCAATCCTTCTAAATAGACATTCTCTTCCCTTTCAATAGTCATGCCTCTGTTGCTGGTGCCAGTCCAAAGATATGCTCTCCCTGGAAGAAAAACAGTCCTGCTTAAAATTCAGAGCCAATGATCACGGATATGACAATTTCCGCTCCAGCAACAAATACAGTTCATCTTAAAGAAGCAACCGTGCTCTCAGTGTTATTTTTGTCAGTGGATGGATGACAAAGGACTATTATAAAGACATCAAATTTTGGCAGGGTGGGGAAGGATTGGGGGTTGCATAATATTCAAATCACTTCCAGTCTCTATCCAAGGATCACAACTATTTTACACAAAAATATTCCTGCAAGAGGCAGACAAATCCTTGTCAAAGCACTTAAACTCTTCAGAATGAGCACTTCCAGATCATCTCCAGGGCTTGTAAATGAAATAGCTGTGTATGACCCTGGAGGCCTGAGTAATAATTCTCACTATATACAGTATAATGTGACTATTGTTGGGAGAAAGCCAGGTTAGTCTATAAATCAATGTAATCTTTTTCTTTTCTTTTCTTTTTTTTTGGGGGGTGGGAGTCACAGAAGAGTCTGTCAGTCTAACCTATAATCCCACCTCAGATGTGAAGTGTCTATATTGTAATACAGCAGGCATGGCGCTTCATGTCACAGATAAGGAACAATCAATAATTTTATCTCTGTAGATCGAAAGAGAATAAAAGAGCCCAGTTAAACAAAACAAAAAAAACAAGTAATTCTTAGGTAAGAAAATATAAACCTGCAATTTGGGATAGAACAACACAGGATAGCAACAGATCTTTGCAAATCTTGGCAGAGTTACTTATTTTGTGTGCAGTTTCCAGGAAATTTTCCCTAATTTGTATCAGACTCAAATTTTATCTCCTCATTCTCCTTCCCCAAGTATGGCATTTTCTTCTCATCCCCAACTTTTAAAAAATAGTAAATAGCCCTGGTAAATTGCCTCCCATTTTTTAGACCTGCCTATAATATAATTAAGAGCATCCCTATTCTCATATATATATTTCTTGGTATAGCAAGAAGTTACTAATACTGTCCTATGGCAGAAAAAAAATCACTTCTTTTCACAGAGCTCTAGCTATCATAGATAACCTTTGTAGCTGCAGATATGAAAGAGTGGAGGATCTCAACCTTCACCTTTATGGAGCCTTCAAAGGAGACTTTAGTTCTGCTTTTGTAAATATTCTGGTTGAGACATAACTAAGCCTGGATTAGTAAGTAATAAAATACGGGCTGGTCCCAGTGTTATTGTCTGTATGAGAGAGAGAGAATGTGTTTATAATACACGTGAAATGAACTGCCAGGAGCATTTGCATTTTGTGTATGCATCACAGAGTACTATTTCAAAAATAATACTATTAGTTAACACAGGTTGAAGTTTATTGCCAGTATTAATAAGAGAGCCAACATAGTGCATTACTGCGAGCGTTCGATTATGGTTGGATCTACACTGCTATATAATCCAGTTCAGTGCAGTTAATCTGCATTCTGAAACTGCATTATATGACATTGTAGGTTTAGCCTATGAGTGACAGATAAGAGTTTCAATCCCTGCTCTACTGTGGAAACCTATTGGTTGACTTTGGACTGGTCACTATATCTTTGCCTAAGAAGAAGGTAATAGTAAGTCTTCTCTGAATAAATCATGCCAAGAAAACCTTATAATTGGGTTGTCATCAGTCCAAAAGTTTCATCAGTTCAATAGTTTCACTCTGAGGCAGAGTGTGCTGCCTCAGAGCATCATGAAGTCTCCTTCTCGAGAGGTTTTTAAACAGGCTGGATGGCCATCTGTCGGAGGTGCTTTGATTCTGTGCTCTTGGATGTCAGGGGATTGGATGGCCCTCGTGGTTTCCTCCAACTCTTTGATTCCATGATAGCACCTTTATTCTGAGACATACTGTGGCTGATGTGAATGAAATGCCTATATAACCAAAATGCTATATAGAAGGAACAGCCAAAGAGAGCTCTGGGGCTAAATGTGCCTCCCGAAGCCATTTTTGCTAATCCTACCCACTATCACCACTACTGTCACACACTTTCCTGTGCTGGCAAAAGGTGAATGTTCTCTCTTGGAACAATTCCGGAACAGGGATTCAGCCCAGAGAATGGCAATGGCAGGCCTCTTCTGAATGAATCATGCCAAGTAAACCCTCTGATAGGATCACCTTATGGTCGCTATAGGTCAGGAATGACTTGAAAGCATAACACCCCATCAGCAACAGCAAAATAAAAAGCTTGACTAAGATGCATGTGTTGATGCCAGTGAGACTTCCAGCATCTTAAAATAAGCCAAGAGCCAGGATTCTGTTGAATGTCCTCGCTATCACTGCTATGGGTGGTAACATTTATGTACTGTATGTATATGATATACTAGTAATTCAGTTTTAATGTGCAGTTTTCATAGTTTTGATGTATTGTATGGGTTTGGGGGAGTTTGATGAACTTATTGTGATGTATATTGTTTTGTTATTGTTATGTAGAGCAGAAATGGGCAACTGTAGGAGGTCAGAAGGTTGCAGATGTCCCACAGGACACATTGCAGGGCAACACTTCTCTCATTCCCTCCAAAATTCAAAATTGGTTTTGTGGGGCCTGGGACATCATAAATTCAGGAGGGGCTTTTTTGTCTCACATTCTTGTCCTACATATTATTTCATGGAAATCACCCTGTTTAGATCCTAGCATGTGACAAACCCAGTGCATGGGCTATGTGTGTTGAACAAGTTGCCTTCTTTTTTGGAATTTGATCACATATATTGTGCCTTAGCCTCATATATAACTATGGACACAATGAGTATATATACACTGCCTACTTTTTTAAAACCATAGTGCCTACGAAATATATAATTATCAGTTTGTACAGGGTTTATAAGAATGACTATTATTGACAGAACTCTTAAACATTTGTATTGAGCCGTGCTTCTGTGCCTTTAAAAGCAGTTTGAGCTGCAGCCATTAGTAGGAAAATGATGGTTTATCTGCTTGTTGTCAAAAGCTTCACTGGATTTCTGCTGATCCAGGCAGTTGCCAGGATGATATTGTTTTGTGTTTCTAGTGAATGGGCAACCCTAATGCTGATCGGAAGAGGAGCAATAATGTGAGCCAAGTAAGCTTTAGAAGCGGAAAAAACATCATAGAAATAATAAGAACTACCTCTAAACCTTTCACATCCATAACAATATTCTCCTGAAAAGATACAAATAAAAGGTAAAATAACAATCATAAGATCTTATTCAACTTTTTAATTTTGATCCGTTCTGATCTTCATGATTTTGGCCCTCCAATTCCATCAGAATTATTTGACGTTTCTGTTCTCTATTGGCATCCTTTAATTGAATTTGTTAAATTGTACTTTTTAACACTATGTTTGCATGTTCTCATGTCCGCACTCAGACATATATTCCAAAGTATATTCTCAAGTACATAAATTATCATACATAGAATGTTGCAACACAGTTAAATGACTACTCTCCAGAGAGTATTAGTTGATACAAGCATAGTAATACCTGAAGAAGAGCCATTGAAATGAGGCAGGATGCATTCCTCTTGAGTAATTTGTGTGCTATTCTATTTAATGGCACGCTCGTCAATTAGTCTTCTAAATTCCCAATCTAGATTCTAGATCTCTCACCATTGGCTATGGTCAGGCCTGTAGCGAGGGGGTGGTTTTAGGGGTTCAACCCCCCCCCCCCCGAAATGTTTCAGATTTTTTTAAAAACCTGGTTTACTCATGAATTTTAACTGGTTAACCAAATCCCCATGCTAAGTCTATGAGATGCAAAAAATTAAGAGTCCCTCCAGAACTGCAAGCACTATCTCAAGCCAATATTGACAATTTATTCACACTGTCATTACTTGCAGCAATAGCCGATGTAGTGAAGCAACCAAGTTGGGTGTGTGTGTGTTGAATGCTCTCATTAAGGAGGCCAGACTTGGTGGAGGGGGTTGACAGGGGTGGAGCTGCAGGCTATTGAAGGCTGCTCTGCCCCTGCTGTGCTCTTTGCTTCAGCTTGAGCTAAGAGGCAGGTTTCAACCCCCCCCCCCCCCCGAAAATTTCAACCCCTCCTGATTTTTTTTCTGGCTACGGCCCTGCCTATGGTTGTCAGGACAGATGGGGACTGAAGTCAACAACCTCTGGGCAGGCACTACCTGCCATCCATTGTCTCCTTTACGTATTACTATGTCAAGATCTAAGTACAAATTTCAACCTGTTGTTGGATTGTGCCCTGTATGTTTAAGTATAGCACTATTTAATTACATAAATGATATCATATAAAAGGCAAATCAGTCCTAAATTATGATAAATGTATGCATTTTATATTTCTAAAGAATGACATGCAGCAAGGGCTGAATTATGTTCTGTGGCCTTTGTTAGAAATCAGTCATCATATTGTTACCTCAGCATAGTCAGGTATGTTCATAGATGGATTTTACTGCTTCCCATAACAGTATTAACATTAATTGCTGTGCTACGTGAGTTAGAATAGGCAAATCAGCCTTTTTGTTGTAACTGAACCTTTTTAATGTTTATTTTATAAATTTATATTGTTTTATTTTTATTGCCACTGACTTTGACCACAATGTTAGTAAGTTGAATTGTCAATAGAGATGCTTGTAAATAGTTTATTTACATCAAAGATCTCTAGTGTATTTTCCCCTGCATATACCAAGCTGGAAATTAAATCTAGTAGAATCGAATGTAATGCATTAAGACCAGTGGAAGTTGGTTTTCATGTCCATAGGGCAGTGAAGGCATTCTAACTTCTTGTTCAAACTGCAAAGAAGTTCTTCAAGGTGTTGATATTAATTGAGATGTAGAGTTCAGCACTCTGGAGAGCTCTTCGAAAGTTTAAACTAAAACCCAAAGTAGATACAATATTCCATTGTTACGGATTTTCCCAGCTACTTTTGATAATAATTATATTTTATTACATACATAAACAGATACATCTATAAAAGCCAATATTAAAACAAAGTTAAAATATTACAAAAGCATATATTAAAACATACACATATTATAATACATGAGACAAATGTTGAAATACATAGCTTGTGATTTGAAAATTCATGATTAAAACTGAATGGATAGGCCTGCCAGAAGATATGGGTCTTCAGTTGTGTTCGAAATTCCAACATCATGTTTAGCTGTCAGATTTTCCTGCAAGTTATTCCACAGTCTTGGAGCAGCTGATGAAAAGGTCCTCTGGGTGACAGTCACCAGTCGGGTTTTGGCTGGTTGGAGTAAGTATTCGCCAGAGGACCTAAGTATCCTAAAGGGCATATTGTCCAGAAGGTAATCCTGTAGGTAACCATGTAGGGATTTAAAGGTCCAAACCAACACTTTGTACTATGGCTGTAGATAACTTGCAGACTCAGAGACAGTATGCTTTTACATACGAATTGTTGGGTAGCATGAGAAAATGGATGCTATATCATTATAAAAATGTTTTTGGGCTTCCCATATATTACCATAATAAACAGAATGCTGGACATAGATAGACTTTTGGATAGACTGAATATGGGCCCCCTTACATTCTTATGAATTGGATCCACGCTGAAATGACACCTCGAAGAATTCAGAGTTTTAAGTAAATACATGGTAATATGAGATAACGGAAGTGTTGAAAAATATGTATGTTTTGGAAAAAAGGGGTTATTAAAGTACATTTATTTCCAATCCGTCTGTGTCCCATTTTGAAAATCACAGAAAACACTGGCTATATTTATCCTGGAGAAGATTTAGAGGTGATACAATATGTCTGCAATGTGGAAGAAGGAGAGAGCTTGTAAAAAAAAAAAAGGAAAGCACAAAATAATTAAGGGACAAGAAAGACAACTTCAGCTGAACATTAAGTAGAATGTTTTGGGGTTTTGTTTTGTTTTGTTTTTCTCATGTCAGGAGCAACTTGAGAAACTGCAAGTTGCTTCTGGTGTGAGATAATTGGCCATCTGCAAGGATGTTGCCCAGGGAGCGCCCGGATGTTTTGATGTTTTACCATCCTTGTGGGAGGCTTCTCTCATGTCCTCACATGGGGAGCTGGAGCTGACAAAGGGAGCTCATCTGCGCTCTCTACAGATTTGAACCTGTGATCTGTCGGTCTTCAGTCATGCCAGCACAAGCGTTTAACTCCTTGTACCTCCTCGTTTTGAAGGTAAGAACTAGTGAACAAGACCAACTTGAAAACCCCCATTCACTGGATTTTTAAAACTGGTTAGCCATCTGTCAAGGATGATTTACATGTGAATTCTTGTCCTGCGGCAGGGTTTTGAGTTAGGTTACCTTTGGGATAATTTCCAACTTTCCGTTTTAAAGTAAATTTAATTTTTCTCTTTTAGGTTGTGGGAGGAAAAGGGAGGCAAGATTTACCGATGTGGTTCAGCCCACCAAGTACTTTTGTGTAATATAAATATTAACATATTGGTTTAATATTACACGTTTTATTACTGCACATGGCTTTAGACATAATCTTCAGATGTCAGCTGTTTATAAACTGTTATCATTCAAAAAGATAGCATGGGAGTTCTCTGGTAGTTTCCCACCCAAGTAAGGAAGAAACCCATTCATGCTTAACTTCAGCAAGACAGTTGTCTAATATGCTGTGAGTCATTCTAAGACCATGCGTTAATGTCAAGGGTCTCCGACATGAGGGTTGTAAAAGTCAAACAGATCCTTAAAGACCTAAAATTCTACACTTGGCAGAAGGGTAAGGCAATGGGACCTCTTTAGCAGATGTTAATCAGGCCCTGCCCTCAGTCCAACCCTTCAATATGAAAAAGCTGCCTCTAGGAAAAGATCAGTTTTAAGTATCCAATTGCTTTCCCTTTGTTACAAGATGATCATTAGAAAACCTTGCATTTAAGCACTTTACCGAAGGGAAATAACCATATAAAGAGCAGAATGATGAAGTAATCATTCTTCTGACTCTGAAAGACAGCCATTTGATTCTCGCCACAGCATGTTTCCTGCAAAAATATAATTGAAATGGCTGTAAATCTTCCTCCATCCCATTCCTGCCAAGCATCTTGATCAGTTATGTAGCCATATTCTATTGATGAAATATGTCCATAGAGGAATATTGCTAGCGTGCCTTCGTTGGCATACTCTGCTGCAGTTAGCCCTATCCTAGATATCAGGCCAAAAGATTTATAGAATGCTATGCTCAAGTAATGCTAGCTCAGGCCCTGTACACTCAGAGGAAGGAACTGGCAAGACCACCTCTGAGTATTTCTTGCCTTTTTAAAATAACCTATGAAATTCACGGGGTTGCCACAAATTAACAGTTGGCTTGAATGCACATACACAGGCAAGTAAGAGCACTTTCACCTCAACACTGACCTTTCAAAGGATGGCAGTTTAATCTGAGACTTTCCAAACTAAGGTCAAAACAAATTTTACCTCAGCTGCAAGAGGAAAAACTAGGGTGTAGTTAGAGAAAATTAATTCATACTTATCTTATTCTAATCACTACTTGGTGGACTCTTAACAATATGTTTATTTTTATATGAAATATTTTCATTTATCAAATGTCCAAAATGGGAATGCTTCAACCTCTCTATTTTTTTTTTTTTTTTTGCGGATCACCCACCCACCCTCTGCCCCAATTGTAGAAGGCAAGTGACCTAGATGTTAAAAGTTTTTGAGGTCTTTGCATGGGTGTTAGCTACAGGGGGTTAAAATAAATAAGAATTCTGTGTCCCAATCAAACTTTCCTTGAGTCCCCCAATTTCTAGCAATTTAATGATTTAAAACTCCAGTTGAAAATTTAGATCCCATATATACACGAGTATAAGCCGACCCAAATATAAGCCGAGGCACCTAATTTTACCACAAAAAACTGGGAAAATGTATTGACTCGA